TGAGACAGGGTCTCCCTGTAGCCCCAGCTGTCCTGGAACTCACTATGTAGACCAGGCTGGCCTTGAACTCACAGAGATCCACCTGCCTCTGCCTCCTGAGTGCTGGGATTAAAGGTGTGTGCCACCATGCCTGGCTCACTTTTTTTTTTTAAAGAAAAGGGAAGTAAAAAAAAGTTATGTTTGGTGCTAGTATTAAACATTCATGCCTGCAGTCCCTCAGAAAGCCCCCAAGTGCTTGCTGGGATTAAAGGTGTGTGCCACCACACCCCACTACAGTGTTCCATTTTATCCACACAGTGTATTCTAGGACATACACCTGGAAAGTTCCTGGGTAATGGTACATAAATTCTCTGCTTTAACAAGCAGATCGTGTTGGGGTGCTGTTAACCATGACAGTGTTTTTTACACCTGTGACAAGGTATCTCATTAATTTGCACTTTTTATGGAATGCTTTGAGTGTATGATTAAAAGGCAGTTAACATATGCAAATCTTCCCTTTCAAAATGGGCAAAGGATTTAATAGAATGCATTTCTGCAGTCTAGATTTTGCAGGAGCGCTCTAAATGGAGTGCAAGTGTATTGCCTGCATGTATGTTAAGTGCACTTGTGTCATGTAATGCCATGGAGGTAAGAAGAGGGCATCGGATCTCCTTGAACTGGGGTTAAGGATGGTTGTTAGCCTCCATGTAGGTGCTGGGAATTGATCCTTTGTCCTCTGCAAGAACAGCCAATGCCCTTAATCTCTGAACCATCTCTCCAGCCCAAATGTTAGTTTCTTAAATGGAATTTGTTAATAAACATCTGAAACAAGTCTGGTTTTCAGCATGTCGTGAAATCTCACCTATCGTTTTAGGTTTTTCCATTTGGCGAGTTCGTATAGTGTGGGCTTCTCCCTCTTGTGGGCCATTGGCCACCGATCCATGAAAACAGGGAGCAGAACTGACGAATGGGGTCAGGACAGCCAGTGAGCACAGACAGGAAGGACCTCTGGGAGTCAGTTTCAGTGATACAGTCATTTATTCAGTGGGGGTCAGGGAAAAATATAGGGTGGAGATGGTAGCCAAAGCTTCAGCTGATAGGCACTCATAGTATGCTTTATTTACATGTGGTAGGGGGATCCTATCATCTGTCTATAGGGCAGTGCCTAATTATCATATAGAAAAAGCCTGGGGGCAATTTATTGCAGGTAATTATGTTCCTGGCCTTATTTGGTTATCTGTGCTTTGAGGCACTTTCCAGATAAGGTCAGGCAGGGATCAGGAAGCCCCCCCCCCTTCCCGAGAAAGGGAGTCCTCCATATAGCACTGAGCTCCTTAAAGCTAACCGGACATGGTGAACTACAACCATAGCAGCAGGGTTCCCCAACAGTATGGCAGTTCTAAATACCTCATCTTTGTTTCTGGTTTGTTTGGTTTTTGTTTTTTTTTTCCCCCTCCAGGAAGAATACAGAAATTCTATGCCTGCATCTAGTTTTCAACAGCAAAAGCTGCGTGTCTGTGAGGTTTGTTCAGCTTACCTTGGTCTCCATGACAATGACCGCCGTCTGGCAGACCACTTCGGGGGCAAGTTACACTTGGGGTTCATTCAGATCCGAGAGAAGCTCGATCAGTTGAGGGTATGTTAATATATTCTGTTTCTGGAGACGCCTTTGGAATCTTGTCACAGTTAACATTTTTCTGCTTTTGTTTTTTGGGTGTTTTGGGGTGGGGGGTGGGGTGAGACAGGGTCTCCGTATAAGTCCGGCTGGCCTGGAACTCGTTAGGTAAAATAGGCTGGCCTTGATCTCAAAGAAATCCACCTGCCTCTGTTGTCCAAGTGCTGGGATTCAAGGAATGTACCACCATGCCTCCCTACATTTCTTTAATTTGATTTTTTTTCTTTTTGAGACAAGGTTTCCCTGTAGCCCCAGCTGGCCTATAACTCACAAAGATCCTCCTGCCTCTGCCTCCCAAGTGCTAGGATTAAAGATGTGTGTTACCACGTCTGGCATACATTTCTTTAATTTTAATAATTATTTTGTACTCTTTAGGTTGGATTGAATGTGTTTCTGGGCTTTTTATTGTGATGTTAGGGTTAGAGCCAGAGCCTCAGGCATGCTAGGATGTGCTCTACCACTGAACATTTATAACTCCCCAGGTGAAGTTGTTTCTCAATTAAATTGAATGTCATGCTTCAAACAGATGGTGCCTCCCCTAACTCATATTCTAGCACTATGATGGTGTTTAGGCAGTCAGCTTCCCTTTACCTGCCTGATGTGAAAGTGCAGACATGGTACACTACAGAATAATGTAGTATGCTCTAATACTTGAGTCAGTGTTGGGATCCTTAATGTGCCTCCAGGAAGGACCTGCTTACTCGGGCAACAGATGGCAGAAATCTTCAATCCAAGAACTTGTCTCACTAGGCAACTGGTGAACTTGGAGCTGGAGAAGCACCAAGGGTGTTCTCAAAACATTTTGCTGGGGGACTGGCAAGATGGGTCAGTGAATAAAGGTGCAAAGGTACTTGTTACCAAGCCTGAGACCTGATTTCAATCTCTGGGACTCACGTGGTGGAAGGAGAGAACCATCTCCTGCAAGTTGACCTCAAACCTATACACAGGCACATAAACACATACAAATACAAATAAATGTAATTAAAAAAAATTTTTTTTTGCCAGATATGGTGGCATGAGCCAGTAATCCCAGTGCTTGGGAGGCAGAGGCACATGGTTCTCTGTGAGATTGAGGCCCGTTGGTAGAATATTTGTCTAGCATATCTGAAGCTCAACATCACATAAACTAGGTGGTGGCACAAGCTTGTAATCCTGGTGCTGGAGAAATAGAAAAAACAGGATCAGAAGCTTAAGTTCATCCTTGGCTACATAGTCTTGGCTACCTGAGACCCTATCTCAACAAAACAAAAACACTTCTGCCTTCCTAATTGCATTTGAATGTACTGTATACTAACTACACCTTCGTAAGTAGGAGCTTGGTCATGCGAGGTGGATGATACTTTTAAGATAGTAATGGGGACAGAGGTGAGTATACAACCACAGGCATGTTCTCAGTCAGACCTGCTTTAGGGAAGACTTTGCAAGGTCGCTATGAAGCTTATTATCTTGTATGCCAACTCATCTTGGCTTGTCGTAATCTTTCATCTGGAGGGTACTTGCTTTACTCGCTGGGAAGAATAGTGATTTTTGGATCACTGGGTATGACTTCGTTCCACCCTGTGAAGATGGAGAGCTATTACAGGGATTTGAGCTAGTACTAGGAGTGGACTGGACAGGTGTCTAACACTAGGCAAGCTCAAGTTGATGGTGTTTTGGTGGTAGAGTTTCTCAGAACCTCCTGCATTCAGGATCAAACCTAATGAATTGAACGTGATTGTGCTAGTCATTGCAGCACTCAGCACCCCAAAGATGAGCTGCTTCTGGCTCCCTGGAGCTCCATTCCCAGCAGCAGGATGTGTGTGGTCTGTCAGGTCTGTTTCTCTTTTACCACAAGTTTGTTGAGAGGCTGTAGGGTAAATAGCTAACTTGGTTTGTTTGAAGCAGTATGATTAAAGTTTTCAAAAGGGAAAATATTGTTTCCTAAGTTCCTCTTGTTCTTATTTTCATTTATTTAGAAAACTGTGGCTGAAAAGCAGGAGAAGAGAAATCAGGATCGCTTGAGGAGAAGAGAGGAGAGAGAGCGAGAGGAGCGGCTGAGCAGGAGGTGAGCATAGACTGGCCTCAGGAAACTGCTGCTCCATCTACAGTTTTGTAGCCTGGAGCAGTCAGTGTCCGCCATATGCCAAGGTGGCATTTATTTATTTATTTTTAATTTTCTTTATTATTTTTATTCTATGTGTATAAGTGTATTGCCTGCATGCATGTAAGTGCATCCGTGTCCTGCAGTGCCACGGAGGTCAGAAGAGGGCTTCAGATTTCCCTGGAACTGGAGTTAAGGATGGTTAGTAGCTGCCATGTGGGTGCTGGGAATCGAACCCTGGTCCTCTGCAAGAGCAGTCAGTGCTAGCAAAGTGCAGCATGTACTAATCTGAACTGAGGGAAGGAGAATAAAGTTTCCTTTTTTTTTCTTTTTGGTCTTTTTGAAGCAGGGTCTCTCTGTGGCCCCAGCTGTCCTGGATGGAACTCAACTATGTAGACCAGGCTGACCTTGAACTCACAGAGATCTGCCTGCCTCTGCCTCCGAAGTGCTGGGACTACAGGCGTGAGCCACCACACCTGGCAAGTTTCCTCTTTTATGTCCACAGAGCCACCTTCTCTGACAGCTGGACACATAGCCTTCAGCAAATAAGGAAGGCAAAAGCTGATCTGCTGGGGGCGCAAGCTGCTGTCTGGAGGCAGGCATTCAAGGCTGTAGGGAAATCATCAGCTTTGGGCTAAAGCAATGGAAGCTTTGTAGCTGCTCTGGCTCTTTTTTTTTTTTTTTTTTTTTTTTTTTTTTTTTCCTTCCTTGATATGTGGCCACTGAATAACCTTTCCCATAGGATATAAATTGGAGTACTTTGCTGCCCACTGGGGAGCAGAGTGTAAGGTGTTGGGCAGAAGCACCAATACCAGTGAGATGTTGGTAGGAGTTGAAGGCTGGGGAGTCTGGGTGTGGTCTGTAGTAGGACTGAAATGTCCTCATAGAGATAGTGGATTTGATTGGACTTCAGGGAAAAAGATCAGAGCCAGAAGTAGCTATGCTTTCTTGAAGGATACTTGTTGCTTTTGGAAGTTTCTGTGCTCTCTTGAATATGTAACTCAGAAGGCATGTTTTGTGTGTACTTAGTTTCCTTTGTATTAATTACAGTAAACTGATTATTAGATGCTTGAACAGTTTAAGAACCCACCCAGCAAGACCTACAGTCCCTTTTACACAATGACTGTTGTGTTTGGGTGTATCTGCAACATGAGACTTTGTCACATACATGTTTGTTTCATTTTCACTGTTAGTGGTTGCAGTAAAATTCTAAGAGCTTGTTGTTGGGTTCATTGCAGCACAGCCAGCCCAGAACATGCAGAAGTGGAGGGTTCTATTCCCATGGGTTTATTTATTTTTAATTTTATGTGCATGAGTATATTGCCTTCATGCCTGTAAGTGCACCTCTGTTGTACATTGCCTGAGGAGGGTCAGAAGACGGCATTGGAGTCCCCTGGAACTGGAGTTAGACAGTTGTTAGCAGCAATATGAGTGCTGGAAACTGAACCAAGATCCTCTGGAAGAATAGCCAGTGCTCTTAACCGCTGAGCCATCTCTCCAGCCTCAGGCTTTGTAAATTTGTATGCCACATTTAATACCTGGGTGCTGGTCCTTTTCCTGTGAGCTCAGGTGCTGCTTCATGAGCCAAAGATTGAGTGAGACTTCAACTCATGAGCATTGGTACATCTTTCAGCCATCCACCAACCTCAAACATTGAAGGAGCCAGAGAATAACAGGAGAATAACAGGTCTATTTCCTTCATGTCTGGAACCCCTCTTCCCTGTCAGTAAGAACAAACTGGGTGTGGTGGCGCTGCCTTTAATACCCAGCAGAGGCAGGTGGATCTCTTTTGAGTTCGAGGCCAGCCTGGTGTTGCATAGCAAGTTCCAGGCTAGCTGGAGCTAAACGGAGACCCTGTCTCAAAAAGAACAAGATGTTTTATAGATGTTCAATCTTTTTTTTTTTTTTTTTTTTAGTTTTTATTGTAGAAGATGGAGTTTATTATAGAATACTATTAGGCACATTCAAGGGTAAGAGTGGACACTGACTAAAGGGGACAGTGCAGAAGAGAACAGAGAGTGGCCAAAGACAAT